GGTCGACGCGATCTTTGATGCGCAACTCTTGTTTGGTATGTTTACTTTTTAATACTTCCACTGAAATGAAAATAGTAATCAAAATAACATTTACAGATAAGATTTATATTTACAATTGTCTTTCGTAAATAACACGACGGGCGTTGGAGCAGACATAGGGCCTGTCTCATGACTGGCTGATAGAGGCTCAGATTGCTTAAAAATGACGTCATTGTCAGATAAGGTAACGAAAGCCGATATTTACAAGTTGGATTGTTATCAGACAATTTACAATTTGGTGTGACAGCTCTTAGTAATTGACTTTAATGTCTAAATAAGAAATAAATCCATCTTAATAAAGATATCAATGTATGATGTAAGTAGCGTTGAAAATAACTACTTAATTACATATCCGATAAAAGGATTGATGTGACCATAGTAATGCTAGTTTCACACAAAAGCGGAAAGGCGTACTGCATTGCAGTACTGCTAATTTTCGAACGCATCTCATGCCGAGATGTCCAACAATTACAGCAAGTGCAAATCTTTGACTAAACTATCGCTGTTCATTATTATATTGGTGTGCGATTGTCGATTGTTTCGCAACCCATTCAACTGTTTAGTTGCAAAACTAAAAATCGAGTAGTGTGTGCACCTCCTTATAAACTCATAGGAATCAAAGCGATACTAAACAATTATGCGATAGTTTAATCAAAGGTGTGGTGCTCTTAATGTTAACCTAGAATACACTCGAAACGTAACTTTTCGCGATTGCATGACATTTGTATGATCAAACATTACGTGCACGTAAATCAGCTGGCAATTGGATTTGTGATGCAACCTATGTAAGCCGCTTAGAAAGTTTCTTGACACCTCTGTTAATTGGTTTATCTATTATTGAAATAACTGCAACAACAGTAAACAGAAAGTTCTGGTGACAGTTTTTAATTACTCGATGCATATACTTGGATATTTCTCATTTACTTTCCTTCGCTCTGATATTATAATCTTCCTTAAATGTCAATTAAATCCTTTAACTTTAACTTAGCGCCTGTTATATTCGAATAGCCATAATGTTTAATAACATTTCTGCAGATTGTATTTGAGTATTTGGTAAATACAAATTAAACTTTTGACCTATTTTAATGCAAGCGTTTTTATGTCATTTGTCGTAAATATTTCTTTTTTTGTTATCATCTTCCTATGTTAATGTTCTTAGTAACTTTGATACTATTTTTAATTAAGAATATTTCTAGTGTCTGCTGTAACGCACCATTTTCCTATTCCTAGTGATTTTACACCATGAATTTATATAACAACCATTTCACTTTCCCTCCTTTCTACTGATCAGGTTTAAGGGCGATTTATGTAACGGTACTTTCGTTTCAGTCTAGAATATTTCCTGGTCTCTTTTATTACAGGTCTGATAGTTGCCGTACAGTAATATTGTTACATTACGCGAACGCACTGTGAAAGTACGACGAATACATTCTCCTTTATTTTATCTTTTATAGGAAGAAAGTTTTGTGTAAACAGATTTAAAACAAACGCCTTAAATTAAAGATTTAAGTTTATAATGTTCGTAAGATACGGGTTTCTTACCACGATTGGGTTGTTTTAGCTCCCGATATTCCGGCACAGTTGCATGCGCCATGTTCACGGGCTGACTGTGCAACTGTGCCGAAATATCGGGAGCTAAAACAACCAAATCTTGGTAAGAAATCTGTATCTTATGCACATTATAATAGTAAAAATCACGATATATGATTTAAGTTTGTTATAGACAAATCTGTTTTATAGTTTAGAAAAGTTAAGTTTATAGTTTCTGTAAGAAGTTAATTTTTACGATCCCAACAAAGCATTCGCCGTTTCGTACAAGGTGTTTTAAAGATTTCAGATATGTTTAACATGGAATTCAAAAACGTTTTGTTTTCTCTTGAAATAAAAAAGGATTTTCCTTAATTTATACCACATTCTTCAATTAATAACTTCGTTATCCTTGTAAATGCGGTTATGTTCATCGTCTTCTTGACTCTGCAAACTTAACTTCCTGATACGACATGTCGACTTTCTCTTTTTTCCATGAAGGTTCTTTGGCTTTCCCTTCCTTGTCCCTTTCATTTTCCTCTCTATTATTGTGCTTATAAAATCTCTATGTCCTAACTTTCTTCCATTATTATTAGTATCGAATTTGATTTGTGACCTCAATCCAACTATATCTTTTCATCCTTTTCTAACAGTAAACGCCTTTTCTGACCTTTCTTCATTTGTTTTTCTCATAATCTAGTATTTTTTTTGTACCCCCGAGGTGGGGGCCCTTCGGGTACCTGCTGATGTCGCTAATGCAGCAACCTTGTTACCGTTAGGTTATTTTTAAGCAATCTATGAGTTGTAGTTTGTTTGTTCAAAATGTTTAACTACTATTACATAATCTAGTATTAATACGGCTGATAATAAAATAATTAGTACGGGTCCTTCGTCAATAAGAAAAGTGATCAGGCTGTAATGAAAATTGTCTATCATCTACTCGTATATCTTCTATCTATATGTATACATATAATAAAATTGCAGTGTCTGTGTGTAATATCAAAAGAAAAAGAAAAAAAAATAAAGAGGAAAAAAAGAAAAAAAAAATATCAAAAGAAAAATTCCATTTCGGAAAGATGTATTTGCGTTGCTGATAACGAAAATCGCATTTAAATTTTGTTTTGTCTGACTGTTCGCAAGTCTCGTTTGTTCCGGGTAATCTCTGAGACTGGGGCTGGACCGATTTTGACCGGTCTTGCACTGAAGGGTAGCTGACATAGACGGGCGCATTATACGCTAATTTTTTATCTTGTTATTGTGCGGACGAAGTTGTGAGCAACGGCTAGTTTTAACATATTTTAATATCGATCGAATAGATTGCTTCACACTGCAACGTTGGAAAGGCAAATGCTTAATTGCATAATTTCTTGTGTAACCGTACGGTGAAAGAACTGCTGTCCCACCACCAAGCAACGCGGCAAACCACATCAGTCTGCCTTCAGCGTTACTACCGACGTGTCGTACCTCGCTGTACAAAACGGTATTTTGTGTGTTTGTGTGTCCTTAGGGAATTTCCAAGCTTACCATTCTTAGCGACCGTGTTTGTCGTGCGGTTTTTGACCACATGTAATAGAAATGTGCGTGTTTCACGGTCCACTGGATTAGAAAGCATGTCGGCCGGTTTTGTTTGTTTATGTACTTCCCAAGTTGCGTTGTAAATGCGTTAGTTTATTTTCGTGTAAAAATTTTAAGCAATTACTTAAGATGTATTGGTTCTATCGGAATTGTAATCATTGAAACTTTATTTTGATATTATTAAGTGTTGATAACGTTGAAAAAATATACCATATTACTATACTAAATAATTGAAAATAATGTGCTGATATTGGTCCTGTATCTGAAAATAATCATACTTCATACTAATGTCATAAATATGAAAGTTTACATGAATGGATGTTTGTATTATATATCAGAAATATTTCGATAATATTTGGCACAGGTGTAGAACATAGTCTGCAAGACATAGGCTGCTTACTAAATTTCTGTTTTGATCGGACGAAGTCGCGGACAAAAGCTAGTTAATCACAAGATTTTACATATTTAACTAAATTCAAAAGTATAAAATCGGTATCTATTGTTGTCCTAAGTTGTATAATGTTTGATACGTTAATATTCCTTTTTTAATTATTACATTGTGTGTGAATTAGTATAATTAAGTTGCATATTATATTGTTATTGTTTGTATTTTTCTAAAAGATAATTAAAAGTTTTTGAGGTTACTTTTTGTTCATGGTGACCACACTTTTAGTTTATTTTGCCGTCCTATCGAAAGGGCTTCCTGCCTTATGCCAGTAATTCTCTAATAGCTTGCATGACTTACTGGCGCGTGTTAGTAGCATGTTCTTGCTCATTTTTAATGTCAATAGTAATGTTACATTTAAAAGTATATAACAGTTGTTTTAAATTTAATAAAAAAAAACAATTTGTTGCCAAATTGAAGATCGTGAGACAAGATTTGTTTATACGATTTGCTTTAGATTATTATCCTTAAAATATATTTAACATTGAATTTTGAGGTCTTTTTTATTGTTAGAATTTTGTTACAGCATTATCTGTTTTATTTACGCAGTGTTAAGATATATTTTGCTATGATAAGCGAATGTCCAAATACAGGAATTAGATGTGTTTGAATGTCGAAACATGTCAAACATTGTATTGGCAAATATTTGGCTGTACTAATCGTGTTTGACCGCAAATGTGGCCTCTGTAGTGTGGAACATGACTAGTTTGTAATTTTTGTAAATGATATTATTATTTAGGACAAATATAGATGCAAATTGTTACTTTGTAGCTTATTTTGGTTGTTTTTTTTTATTTGAATTTCTTCATGTAGGCACTTACTCGTTTCAAATGTAAAGGGGCGCAGTACACGGAAATATTGGTGAATGGATGTGTAAGAGAGTTTTAATATATTGTGTTTGAATAAATATATGAATTCACTAGATTTCTCCCGTGTCCTCGTCCGTGTAGAATTGAAAAAAAAAAACAAAAGTATGTAGCCTATGTGTTCTTCGATGCTATCCTTTGTATCTGTGCCAAATTTCATCGAGATCAGTTCAGCAGCTTAGGGCACATACTCTTAACAAACATCCATCCATCTAAACTTTCGCATTAAAAAAAATGGATTGTATTGTATCGATCGATAGATATAATCGATATAATCGATTTATAGTTATTTAATATACGATCTCGCAGAACATTCAAATCGGTTCATTATCGAGAAACACATATTTCCACGTAAACAGGACTGAGTGCGTCACACTGGGTATTTTCCAAATTAAATCGTATTAGTCTTATGAATCTCTTAATCCATCAAAACTATTTAACATTTGTACTCAAAATACCACATCTTTTTTAAATTACGTCCCAAGCAAATACGCTCGTAAACTAGATTGTTTTTCTCTCACGTGTATTAAGAATTTACTTTTATTAGTAGCTGGCCGTGTAGAATCGTAGAGTTGATAAAGCCGCGTAAAGACATATTGAAAATATTCGATATCTCGTTTACCTTTGTTTCAAAGAAAAGTTCAAGGTTTCGATAAAAGTGAAGTGACATCGCAGTGTAATGTGTTAGTGGAATAACAGTTGCGATGTGGGATTTGGTTCCGGTTAGATGTCGATGGATAGAGACATTGAGGAAGTGCGGAAAGACGTTACTGCGGCGTCAACGAAGGCTACTTAGACGTATTAAAAAGGTAAATATAAGAGCACAAACACAACTACGGCCGAATACTGAAATGTTATTTCGAAATAAACAGTTTTTTAATTAATGTCACGCTTAAACTCCAACTTCCTTACAAATTTTGACGTCTATCAGATTGTAATCAGCGATTAGGCGAAGTATTGAAGATTCGTTTCAGTGTTTAGTCGTAAATCTATGAAGTTTTTTTCGTTTTGTTATTGTGCAAATATTATAATGACGCTCATATGTTATAACAACATTATCTTATGTAATAGCGAAGGCTAATAACCCGCCTTGATCTAAAGTTTTGCAATCGAGTTACGGTTACGCGAAATCTCGCCAAGTATGTTATTAGATCTGTAACGGTAGACATTTTTATTTTTGCAATTACTAGTTCACGATAATCATGTATTTTATATTTGCATTTAAGTGTTTACAGACCGAAAGGAAGAAAAACATTTTAAAGTCCATACAACCTAAGTATTTAAAGTTAATTTGGACCGTGATTAGCTTTGTGTTATTCTATTAATGTTATCATTAAACGATTTTTGAAGAGAATTAGCAATGGAATTTTTTTTTAAATTAACTTAATAAAAATCTAATATCTATTTAAAATGTAAGTTGGCCCTGTGATTCGAACGTACGACCTTATGTTTCATAATTTTAATTTTATTGATGTTTAATTGTTACTTTAAATTAGATAAAAGTTATTCATAATACATCCTGTGTGTAAATAAATAGTTTAGCCGACGTTCTTACGCTGGAGGACATCGTGATACCTGCACATATCGGCAAAGATATGTGTGAAGTCACAGAAACAGTGGTAAAGCCCGCTTTAACATCTTCGGACGAATAGGTCGACTCGCCCGGTGTAATAAGACGGGAGTGGAGCAATTCTGCGGTTCGTCTGATGAGTGTGGTACCGAGGCCCGACTTTAGTCCCCCTTCCTTTCCGTCCTTTTTTCTTATAAGAAAAGCATGGGAAGGGAACGTGGTTTTAGCGCTGGAGGAAAACGCATAGTAAGGGGGAAATAACCTCTTTATGTGCATTTCCTCCTCTGTCGATTAATGGTAGGCAACGCATCCGCTATTGCGAATGTCTATGGGCAGCGGTCGCTTCGCCATTTTGGCGGATTTAGGAGGCCGCTGACTCGTAGGCCACCTTATAGTATAAAAAAGTCAACCAACCCGTACTGAGCCAGAGTGGTACTAAGGCCTAGTCACCCTAATAAGAGTTATGATCCGAGCCCCTCAGTGGATACGAATAGTGAGCTGGTGATGATGAATAGATCCTGTCGGATTAACAAGATAAGTGTAATGAAATTGCGTAAAAAGACCTTAGTTATTAGTGGTTTAGTCATCGGCATTGAACCTGGGGCACGGTTGCGAGTTGCGAGTCATTGCTCCAGCAACAATAGTTATTGTGAAAGCGCTTGTATGGATGCTTTATATTGGTATTCACATTGTCTATGAAGTGCACATTGATATTGGAAACTTGGGAAGGGGCAGTGGAACGTTCAGTGAATAGTAGCCGCAGATTTTGGATTAGGTTTGTTTTTTTTATTATTTTTTTAATTTTTAGAACTGTATACTGTAGATTTAATACAGTTATTTATGCTGAAAGAAGTCTGAGTGCGTTGGTTTTTTGTAAGTGTTAAAATTTAGGTTCAAATGATATGTTTGTAAAATGGTTCTAACCTATTTTTGACTGACTTCCCAAAAAAGGTGGTACTCAATTCGTCTGTAAGTTTTTTTAATGTGTGTTACGGCATAACTCCGCCGCTACTGGACCGATTTTGACAATTCTTCTTTTATCCGAAAGGTATGTAGTCTTTGCAGGTGGATCCCGGTTTTTCGCTTGATTTTTGGAGTCAAAGACTACGACGTAGTTAAATAGTTTAGCTCAAAATCGCGTGACGAAATTTTATAGCTTTCAAATTATTTATTTAAATCATTGTTTTCTGATGTTTTAGGGAGTTTTTTTTTTAGTTTTAAATTATGAAAGTGTTTTGTTTTTATCTGTAACAGTTCTTGGAGATAACATTTGCGGTGTTGTTTGTACAATAAATTGGAACGTGATGAACTTTTGAATATGTTTGATGTCTCAGCAATGTGCAGTTTCACCTTGTAATTGCAATTAATTGTATTACACACGGTACACGTTAAACGTTACGTTACACGGTAAACATTTACCGGCGGTTGGACGTGACTAAATGTACAGTAAATGACAATTACACAGTTATAAATACACCTTTTAAAGGAAGGCGCGGAAATTGTATTTTGATTGCTCGAAAGTTATGTTTTTTTGTGATGTAAAGACTTAAATTGTCTCCCCTTTAGAATTTAAGATGTTTTAATGATTTTTGAATCTTCTGTTATGATTTTATAGATTTTTAAATGTTTTTTCATTATACTTGTTAATAATTTTACTAATGTAAATGCCGAAAATTTAGGTGGATGGATGGATGGAACGCCTGAACGAATCTTTACGAAATTTTGCATATGTAGATCAGTCTTTTTTTTGTAATAAAAATATTAATAGATTTTTGTTCATATACTTATATTTCCTTTAACCATTCCAACTAAGCTCTATGCTTGTGCTAGGATATTGTTCACGACAATAGTCGAATGGCGGGATTCGACCCTCCGACCTCAAGATCGGTAGTCTGTACCCCAAACCAGGCTATTGACGCTTTCTGCTTTAAGTTAAGTCTGGAAGAACACATAAGCTAATTAATTCTGCGCGGTCGGAGTCGCAGGTAAAAGTTAGTATGTACATATTGCAGATTTTAATGCTTAGTCGAAGACTATATTTGATGATATAACATAAAGGTGTTACATAAAGGAAGTAATTATGTAAAGATGGCGTCAAAGGTAAATGCAACTTTCTAAATGCACGCCGCATCAAGAGTCAACACAAATGACATTTGCTCCTTTGATGTTTTTGTAAACGAATGAACTTTGTTGCGTCGTCCGATTCGCAACGATTGGAATATAGTTGTCTCTGTTATGTCAAAGAGAATAAAAGAGACAAGACGTATTTCTTTTGTAAGCTACATGAATCATGTGAGTGATGCGATACTTTTAGATGTACTCATTGTGACAACCCTAGTAAAGTGATTGCTGCAATTGATGAGTCATAGGGCTGTTGCGGTTTAGTTTTCGAAGTAAGTATTGTTAGTTTGTGTCGTTTTCCAAACAAAAATGCTGAACAAAGAATTCACATCGCCCATGTTGTTTTCGTCGAATATACTCTTATACATACGAGTACCGTTCTAGTGTTGATAATCGAACTGCGGCCTATAAAGTCCCTTAGGTGTATTCCTTTATACATTGTGAATATACGTGTAGTGATTTTTTTTTTATTTATTAAAACATTAGTGACCTAAAGACCTCGACAAATCGTTCCACAGACCTCAACATTATGTAAGATGTGTGCACAAAGAAAAACAAGTATCGGTCAACTTATGTAATTCGTTTTGGTGTTACAGTGAAAGGTTAACAAACTGTTGGTTAATAAAAAACTACTAATGTATTTTTTACAATGTTTTTTTATGATTTCGGATGTCGGAAGGTTAATTTGTTTAAATTATTTTTTTACAGTCAAAAGCAGGTTATTTTCAAACCAGCGAAAAAAATGTGTGATCTTGTAAAAATATAGACTACTAACTTTTGCCCGCGACTCCGTCTGCGTGGAATTAAAAAAAAGCAAGTAGCCTATGTGTTCCTCCAGACTATATTCTACATCTTTGCCAAATGTTATCGAGATCCCTTCAGCGATTTAAGCTAAAAACTCTAACAAGCATCCATCTAAACATTCACATTTATAATATTAGTTCAATTATGTGGTTAACATTATTAGGTAGGGTCCACTATTTAGTTCTTAGAGGCCATTTTACAGTCAGTTTTAGGAGCTTTGTAATATGAATCGCACCGACCCCCTTTATTAGGTTTTTTGTAGTTTAGCTTTATCTTGTAGGTTTCAATAACAATATTTATCTAAAACCTAAAACTATATTTAGCTAATATATCTGTATTATACACGTGAGTTTAGCAAAAGTGAAACCCCACGCGCTGTAACAGCGCAGGTTGGGTAACGGCACTGCGCGGCAATGTTGCGACATACAAGCCGGTATTGTTCATATATAGTCTGTTATATCTTTAAAAATAATAGATATGTCTATACTAATATTATAAATAGGAATACCTTGTTTGTTTAATTGTAATTCTTTCACCATTAAAAAGCTACGTTGTCAGTAACATAGGCTATATTTTATATTATTTTACTAGTTGTTCCCATCCAACTTCATCCGCATAGAATTATAAAATAATCATTTTATTGTTCACATTTGTCAAATTATCAATTGCAAATGTCAAAATAACATGACATGATGTCAAATCATGGCAACTTTGCTTCCTTTATGTTGGCAATAATTTATGGTCTATTTCCCACATTAGGGTTTTAATCCAAAATATTTACCCTTAAGTTTAACGGCGTGAAAATATATAGACTAAAGCGTGACGTAAGTGTAGGGCTTTTTATTAAAAAAAGAGTTATTCAAAAATATGCTGTGATTGCTGACATCTTAGGCAACAAAGAAGTGTGTGTTTACGCTTTATTATAACAGTATAGATATAGAAGTTAACAAAGCCACCATTTTCTTGGTTGTTAAGAATAAAATTAATTGACACCTTGCAAAGATGCACCTATCGTAAGTTTGTCATGCCTCGTTCACACTAGTAATTTAGTCGAGTATTGAGTTATTTGGTAGCTAAAATACTCTCGTCTGTAAGTGTTTATGTAAGTTACTTGGTACTCGACTAAACTACTACTGTAGTGCGAATTAGGCATTAACGGTGGAATCGTTAAAGTTGATTGATTATTTAAAACATATGGTATTAGGCCTAATTTTGGTGGCTTTTCCTTTCCATCCTTTCCTCTTAAGTGGATTTGACTGTGAGGAGTCGCGTAGGAAGGGGAAATATCCTCTTTATGTGCGTCTCCTCTTTCGAGGGGTTGGCAACGTATCTGCAATTGCGGATGTCTAGCGGCGCTTTGCCACTTCGGGTGGCTGCTTGCTCGTTTGTCACCTTAAAATATATTAAAAAAAGACATATATTGACTTTGTTTTTTGTTATAAGGATTGAGAGAGATAACATATTTTGTATGATTAATGTTTCAATTTCTCTGTTCCAGGTGTACCTACACAGCTGGCGGTCGGCTAGCGAGCTAACTATGCTCGTTGGCGCTAAAGTTGGCGGCGCGACGCCCCTCGTCATCGCCTGCAGGAACGGACACTATGATGTTGCAGAATACCTGATAGAGCGATGTAAAGCAGACATAGAACAGCCTGGCTCAGGTAAACATTATTATCTTTTTAATTTTAACTGATAGAGGATAAATATATATATTTGAATGATTTATCTTGTCTAATTTATAGAAAACTAGCTGTTGCACTCGACTTCGTCCTCGTGAAATTAAAAAATATAGCCTATGTTACTCAGCGATACAGTAGCTTTCTAATGGTGAAATATTTTTTAAATCGGCCCAGTAGTTTTTAAGTTATTCCTATACATACAAAAATATTTTCTTTTTTAATTGCTAGTAAAGATTATCGTTTCCTTGATTTTTAAAAGATTTAACATATGTATATGTGACATAACTGTTAAGTGAAAACAGTTCTTTTTATTTGTTTATTATCAAAATTAGTTTTAATACATTGGTTTACAATAAAATATCTCGTGCATTATTGTGGAATAATACCAGACCTTTGGCCGCGATTATAACCAACTGGGTCACATTTGGTACATCTGTATGTAATTGATCGAGCGAATAAAACAATACACATGTTTTATGCCAATCACTAAATGCAGAGATGGTCAACGCAATTGATTCTAATTATAGAGTCACAACTGTCGTTGACAAGTTTACGTTTAGCGTGCGCACACGAAAGATACAGCCGCTCCCCAGGTCTCTGACCCAAAAATGTGCTATGGGAACGAAAAGGCGGCATAGAGCATATTCAAAAAACTTCTTAGTATAGTATTTTGTTAATTAAAACATTGCTTTGATAATAGTGATCATAATGAAATATAAAAAATACGCTACTTTAAAAATTTTAAATGAAAATTTTCATTTAGTTTAAACGCTTTCGCCAATGTAGTGCTCGCAAAATTATGAGATGTTTTTGCGTCGTCGCTAAATTTATCTCGGTCAAGACGTTTACTGACAACAATGTTTTTCAACTCAGTGCGTACTGCTTGGAGAGATTTCCTTTTTCTTCTTAATTTTAGTATTTAATGTTAATCTAGATACGGAACTTTGCAATAAAATGTATACAAGTAAGCTTCAAATTTCTTTCAGAACATTTTAACTCATGTTTACGTTGAAATTTAATTTTACTTTCATAACATTCATACAAAACCGTCGTTGAAAGATCAACATCTTTATTAAGGGTTTCCGATTTTAGAAATACAATATTAAAGATGGATCATTCCATATAAATTGATATTTCTTTCTTCCCATTTCTAGAACGTTCTATATATGATTTTATGAGAGACGATAACATGAAAGTATCTGTAATTACCGTACGTTTACGACTTTGTATATTTTTGTCGACGTTACCATTTGCGAAATGTGAAATGGATAAGTGCCAAAATCATTGACGCAACAGGAACAAACAATTGTTACAGCGAATTGTTACAATCATTGTAAATATAACAAATATTACGCCTATTTAGATGCATAAAGAATATTTTACAAGACTGAAGTAAACTTTCATATGTTCGTCATGAATGTTGAAATGTGTTAGGAATGTTTTTGCTTTAGAATTGCTATCGTATACGATTTTAAAACTAAGAGAAAGTGACTCTAAGGGCCTGTCCCACGACTGTCTGATAGAGGCTCAGATAGCTTAAAAATGACATCACTGTCAGGTTACAAAATCAGATATCACATATTTTACACGTTGGATTGTTGTCAGACAAGTAACACTTTGGTGGGACAGGCCCTAAGAAAACAAAAGTAATAAGACTGCTATCTAAGGGACCTTTTTAATAAACATTTCCGACTCCTTTTTAATAAAAATATTTATTTGTACATTTCAGTGACATTTGACGGCGAGACGATAGAGGGTGCTCCGCCACTGTGGTGCGCGGCAGCGGCAGGCCATATGCCTCTAGTGAGGCTGTTGGTGCGCGCTGGCGCAAACGTCAACTCCACAACACGCACACACAGCACCCCACTACGTGCAGCATGCTTTGATGGTCATTATGATATCGTCAAGTTCCTAGTAGAGAATGGTGCTGGTAAGCAAACTTTATAACCCGTACAAAGATATTATCTCCTCCTTATCCTACTCCCGTATGTCGACGCAATTAGCTTTTGTCCTCTACATAACTCTATCATACGTCATCTTAGTCATCATTCCCTTGATCATGGCACCTTTCATGCAATACATCCATCTCTTTCTAGGTCTACCTCTACCGTACACTTCCACACTCATAACTAACGTTCTTGTTACAAGCGATTCATCCCTCTTTTGTTTTAAAGTAAACTTAACATAAAAATAAACATTTGAACATTACTTAGTAACAGCTATTGGCATTTCATTTAAAGGCATATATGCATATGGTTTTGAGAATTTAGTGAAGCGCTAGTGATGGTAATATGAAAAATGTCTCAATTGAAGTGGCAACGATGCTTCTTTTAAATCTTTTTTTAAATCTATTTCTTGTATAATATGCGAATAGTTAGTAGGTTACCATTACCGATAACATAACATATGTAAAGCCATACAAATGATACAAGTGTAAAGATAAACAATAACATAATTAAATTACATATTACGTAAAGAAGTTGTCAACAATTGTAGATTCTAGTTATGTTTGAAGTACCAGGATCTCAGAAGAAAGATATATAAATTCACGATCGGAGCACATAAGCAATCTAGAACGTAGATTATGTCTTTTAACTTCAACAAATATTGTATTTCAGCAAAGAGTTGAAAAACATAGAGTAGGCATAATTGACTTGAGATATTTTCCCATGTTATCTATTGATATCATGGGAAAATATCCTCAAAACCACTAGTCAATATAATTAATTGTATTAAAATTAATTGCCACTAGCTGCCATTAAATAATATTTAATACTAGCTTTCGCCCCCGCCTCCGTCCGCGTGGAATTAAAAAAAACAAAAGTGCCTTTGTGTTCTTCCAGACTATCCTCTACATCCATACCAAATTTCATCAAAATCATTTCAGCCGTTAAGACTACAAACTCTAACAAACATCCATCTATCCATCCATCCATCCATCCATGTAAACTTTTGCATTTATAATATTAGTAAGATTTTTCTGTGACGCTGTTTAGTTTTATAACAAAAGATAGAGCTTATTACAATTTTGCAAAATGTTTTATTTTATGTATGTATGGGCAATAGACTTGACAACTAATATAGTACCTATTAAAGAAAGTACCGGTAAAAATATTCACTATGTCTAGTCTATATTTCTCTAATATCTGTATTCCAGACATAGAAATAGCGAATCGCCACGGCCACACTTGCCTGATGATCGCCTGCTACAAGGGCCATATTAGAATCGCCAAGTATTTACTCTCCCTGAACGCGGATGTGAACAGAAAGAGTGTGAAGGGTAACACGGCGTTACACGACTGCGCGGAAAGCGGCTCTCTACACATACTAAAGATGCTGTTAGGACACGGCGCTACGATGGATGTTGATTCTTACGGTGAGATAGCATAACTAGTTGTTCCCATACGGTTTTATCCATATTTTTTTTATAACATAAGGTGGCAAACGAGCGAGCGGCCACCTGAATCCGCCAAAATGGCGAAGCGACCGCTGCCCATAGACATCCGCAATTACAGATGCGTTGCCTACCCTTATCCGACGGAGAAGGAGACGCACATAAAGAGGATATTTCCTCCTCCTATGTGTCTCCTACACCGTCAAATCCATTTCCCCTTCCGTAAAATCAGTATTTTATTGTTTACATTACGTAAAACTATCAATGTTTGAATGACAACAAAGGCCCTTGACATTGAATGAGAATTGTTTATGCGTAACCATGGCAACCTTACACTCTGCTACTATTGGCTTGTAGTTTTTGTCTCTTTCCCGTATGAATTTTTTCCAATTTATTTACCCCTAAGTAAGCTTGTAAGCGTACTTTTTTAAGAAAATAATTTTTCCAAAACATGCAGTGATTGCTGACCGACATAACAAAGTGTGTTTATGGTTTATTATATTAGTATAGGTGTGCTGGTTTATGCCTGTTCTTATTTCAATAGTTCTGTCTTTTTACTTTTAAACAACTTATTTAATTGATACTGTCGCTTCAAACTCAGAGCAACACTTCTCGTCAGGACTCAGGTTGCGCGCCAATCTATCCATCCTTCCAGTGACATTGACAGCTGTCAGCTAGGGACGTTACGTTTATGCCGATAATCTAGAGTTGCGCCAATTCTACAGCACGGTACTAATTTGGTTCTTAACATTACATAGGTATGACCCCCCTGCTCGCCGCGTCAGTGACAGGCCACACGCATATAGTTGAGCACCTGATCAGCGCGGAGCAGGGCCTGGTGAGCCGGCAACAGAGGATAGACGCCCTCGAACTGCTCGGAGCTACGTATGTGGATAAGAAACGAGATATGGTCGGAGCACTCGCATTATGGAAACGAGCTATGGATGACAGGTACTACTGAGATTAGATGTTCACGGATAAGATGTATGCAAGATGTGGTAGGCTGACTTAAAAATGTATTTTAGTTTTGTGTTCTGATGTATGTAATTATTACGGCCGGTTACCCTAATAATTAAGATAAATGTAACTTATGTTTTTTTTTTTATAATATAAGGTGGCAAACGAGCAAGCGGCCACCTGAATCCACCGAAATGGAAAGCGACCGCTACCCATAAACATCCGCAATTACAGATGCGTTGCCTACCCTTAATTGACGGAGGAGGAGACGCACATAAGGAGGAAATTTTCCCCTCCTATGCGTCTCCTCCACCGTCAAATCCACTTTCCCTTCTCATCCTTTCCTCTCAAGAACAGGGTGGAAAGGGAAAGGGACTAAAATTAGGCCTCCGGCACCACACTCATCAGACGAAACGCGGAATTGCTTCCACTTCACGCCTGTTTTCTGTGTGGTCGTGGTATTACACCGGGCGAGCCCTTTAGTGCAATTTCTCGTTTCGTCTAATGAATTAACTGTCACCATTTAAAAGATACGTTATCAGTGGATACGCGAACAAAGTCGCGAGCGAAAGATAGTGCTATAAAAGTGTCATATCTGCGTGAATTTAATGTATATAAAATGATTTCCAGATTCCCAGCGGACGGCAGCGATCCAATACCAAAGCCGAAGGACATCCCTCGTATAGAGGCGTATGACTACGCGGTGGAGCCGGCCGACGCTCAGCAGCTGGAGGAGATCCTCGCGGACCCTGACGCGATGAGGATGCAGGCTTTAGTCATTAGAGAACGAATATTAGGTCAGTGGAAACATTAACGACTTCTAAATGTTTGAGTATTGTTATGTATGCCCGTGTACTTTGCCTAAATAGGAACGGTCGGTTGCGCCTGACGACTGCGTCTATATGACGTATTGAGTGTAACCTGTTTTATAGGTTTTCTCGTGACTTTGCTACTCAATAATAACGTAGCTTTTTAATGGTGTATAAATTTTTGAAATCGAACCCGTAGTTTTTGAGTTTTTTCTATGATTTTTAAAATCAGCGCTTGACCACGTTCCCAGCTGTTTCAATACGTACAAATATACAAATTCTTCCTCTACTTAAATGAATTTTTCATATATACAGCGCACAAAATGTATGTATTTTTTTTTCTGTCAGTTTTATAAAAAGTTAATTTTCACAAATGGGGAACTGATTGGCTTCTGCAAGGATCTCTTTAAATGTACTTTTTATATGTATTCTAATATGTAAAAAGGAAATATTTGTATGTATTGAAATAACTCAAAAACTGGGCTGATTTTAAATATTTTTTCGCTACCACAAAGGTAATTTCTGTGATATTTTGATAATTATTCCCAACCGTCACCCCAATCTGTCCCCACGTGGAGACCGATGAGAATAAAAAGTTTCATCCGTTCCACCTATTGCGACGAGGGGACGGTTGTAACTGTACCGGTGATAGTGGGACTAAAAGATGGGACGTATGAAACTTTTATTTTCACATGGAGGGATGTGACGGTTAGGAATAATCGTATTACAATAATTGACAGGTCCCGCCCACCCCGACACGTCGTACTACGTGCGGTACCGCGGCGCGGTGTACGCGGACGCGGGGCGGTTCGCGCGCTGCCGCCAGCTGTGGCACCACGCGCTCGACATGCAGCGCGCCGTGCTGCCGCCGCTGTCGCCGCTCACGCAGTCCAGCCTCTACAGCTTCGCCGAGCTCTTCTCCTACATGCTGGCGGAGCGCGCGCGCCCGCCGCTCAGAGGTACACTACACTACACTACACTACACTACACTACACTACACTACACTACACTACACTACACTACACTACACTACACAACTCTCGTCGAAACAATATGTCACATCTCTATTAGTCATTATTCACTCCTTTCTTACGCATTTCTTTCACAATTTATTCAGATTTTATTAAGTTTTCCTCTATCTTTGTAGACATTCAATCGTATTACCTTCTTGTTGACCGTTCCTAAAAGAAGGGTGTCATCGTCCGTATTTTTTTTGTCATCATCTCGCCGAATCATATGTCTATAAAATACTAACCTTTTGTTTCCCAATTAATCTACCACTGGCGATACTTCCAAACGTCCTGCATCTCAAAAACTGTCAATCGTAATTATTTTTCATTTTAATAGATCAGATAATTAGAAGCATTCTTTATTAAGAGTGCTCTACGACCGATAGATGTTGCACGAATTTAAAACTCTATGTTAGATTTTCATACACAATTTTAATTCTTTACAAGAATGATGCATCAGCTGACTTTGTCCCCACTGAAGGGCTCAGAGCTTAAGGTACGAGCGACTACGCCATAGTCGACCATTGGAGCACTGCGGGTTTATAATATATGGTGGCAAACGGGCAAGCGACCGCTGCCCATAAACATTCGCAATTGCAGATGCGTTGTCTACCCTTAATTTACGGAGGAGGAGACGCACATAAATTGGACAGTTTCTTCCTATGCGTCTTCTTCACCGTCAACTCCACTTTTCCTTCCCATCCTCTCCTCGTAAAAAAAGGGTGGAAAGAGACTAAAATTAGGCCTCCGGCACTACACTCATCAGACGAAACGTGTAATTGCTTCCACTTCATTCGTGTTTTCTGTGTGGTCGTGGTATTACACCGGACGAGCCGGCCACTGTTGACTCCACACATATAGTAATAATAGAAAAATAAATACAGTAAGATAAAAATTAAAAACACAATAATCTACAGGCCGTATAGTCCCGCCGGTATTATTCGAGGACATCGAGCCGGTGTTCAGTAAGACGCTGAGTGAGATAGAGCGCGGCGGC